AATGGCATTGAACTCAAAGAATTCTGTGGCTTTGAACTACCACGTGTGCGGATCAGAACCATCCGTAACGGGTGGATCCATCTTGAACCTCGGATATCTGCCATGTTTGCTCCTTCGCCGTAGATTTACTTTGTTGCTCGAGGATTTGATCTTCTTGTGGACGGATACAATTTGCTGGTGAATAGCTCCTTTTTGAATCTAAGAAAACTCTTGAAACATCTCCTTTTTGGGTTTTCAACTTCCACTTTGTTTTCCAAGCAAACAAAGAACAAACCTAAAAAGGCAGCAGTATGGGTGATACCCATGCAGGGGTCTACTGCCAGTTTCCACATAACCACTACATCTAAAAAGGTGGAAACTAACTCCTCTCACCCATGAGAATAGTTCAAACAAATAACTGGAACAAAACAATAATGCTGGAACAAATAGAAAAACAGTAATTAAAATGCGCTTGGAATAATCTTCCAAGTAAACAGTAAAGGGTAATCACTCCGTCCCAAATTAAGTTGCATGTTTAGTTGTTTACTATTCATAAGGTCAAACTTCATTCATTTTCTTTTATTATTTTTGTTACTCATTTGATAAAAAAAATCATGTCACCCCTTGTTTCGTAGAGCTTTTGATGTAGTTTTTTAGAGTAAATTCCATAATTGGTCCTTTATAACAGGGGGGTTTCCATATTTAGTCCTTTATTATCAAATATTACCCCCGTAGTCCTTTTTTTAAGGGTGTCTTTCCACAAATGGTCCTTTTTTGATCTTCTGCCGTGTTGGTGTTAATTTAAAGACTAAAAATATAATTTGACGTCAACATTATGTCTAGTGACGTGTTCTGATATTGGTTAAGCTTATAACACAAAAATAATGACTATGATTGTGGGTTAGGATTCTGACGAAAGATCACATTTGTAGACTATAGTTGTTGTAAAAAGCGACTGTAATTCACAAACGACGCAAACGAAACAGCCTTTGGAATTGTGTATGACAAAAAAGATATATTATCATTGTGATTTACACTTTTAGCCCTCAAATTAACACCAATATGATAGAAGATCAAAAAAGGACTATTTGTGGAAAGATACCCATAAAAGAAGGACCAGTTGGGTAATATTTGATAATAGAGGACTAAATAGGGAAACCCCCTGTTATAAAGGACCAATTATAGAATTTACTCAGTTTTTTAATATGTAAAATTTGTTTTTTAAATCCGCTCCAGTTATCTAATAAATTGCATTGAAAATGATTTCGGTCAAATATCGTAAACTGAAATAGAAAATTTAATTTGGGACGGAGGGAGTACAAAATAAGTAGTGATAAGAATATTTTATTTTATCGCAAACAGGAAGTGTCTTTTTAAACGGAGGGAGTACATAAATGTAGTTGTGCACTTATGCACATAATTATCATGATATGTTTATTGAAAAGTCATAATCAGTTCCGGGTTTTAGTGGTTTTGGGTGTAATTAGTTTCGGGTATAACTAGGTTCAGATCTTATAGGTTTTGGGTCATATCCATTTTGGGTATATTCGGTTTTGGATATTATTGGTTTAGGGTGTAATCAGTTCGTATCTAATTGGTTTTGGATCTAAAATGGGTATGGATATATTTAGTTCGGTTTTGGTTGTTTGGTTGTGTTGGAACACGGGTTTACGCCTCTGTCGTACTAAACTGTGTTCGTCCTTATGACAGGTTTTGATAATGCCAAACCGCCGCGACATATCGAAGCTAAAGTGAGCAAAACTAAGGCGAAGGAACATGGCATGATGACTTGAGAACCAAGAACCCAGAATCAAGAATGAAGAACTAGAATTGTATTGAGTCGGTCTTAATGTGATCAAGACCGGCACAAAATTCCAAATCTTGGCTCTCTAGGCTCAATTCATAAAAATCTCTTTTACATTTTCAAAAATATTTTTCTTAAGTTTTAAACTTGGCTCAAAACACTTGGAGTTCGCCCAAGCCAAAAACCAAGCCAACCGGCGTTCGGCTTTCGGTTTTCGGCATTGGTTTTTGGCGTCCGAACCAACCAAGTGGTTTTCAACCTTTTATGACTGGTTTTCACTTCTGGGCACATTTAAATAGTTCTCCAACAAAAACGCTTCAAAAACCACCTTTCATTTTTGGTCGTTTAGTGAAAACCATGCGAAACGGCGTAAACTTAGCTAGCCGTGGTTTTCAACTAAATGACGTGGCTTTCAAAATGTTTTACTTGATTTCTTAGCAAAATGCATTAAACAAACATTTTCAATACTTGGTTTTTATTTTGGAGAACTTACATTTTTGACATCGGCTAACGGCTGACTAAACCAACCATGGGTCTGGCTAAACCAGCCCAACAGCGATGTTGGTGAAACCAACAGCGCTGTCTGGCTTGGGTGGCTGAAAACCATGGTTTGGCGTTAAGTCTTCCAACAG